AAGTACCTTTTGTAGAACATAAAAGTACCAAAAAGTCCCCTTTTATAAATTCTTACCTAGTTCTACCTACATGCTCTACACACTTAATTTCATGTTTCTAGGTTCAATATTATAGAAAATTCAAAAAGTACCTTTTGTAGAACGAAAAAGAACCAAAAAGTCCCCTTTTATAGGTTCTTACCTAGTCAAGGCCCTACATGCTAAATTTCACGTTTCTATGTTCAATATTATAGAAAATTCAAAAAGTACCTTTTGTAGAACGAAAAAGTAGCCAAAGGTCCCATTTTATAGGTTCTTACCTAGTCAAGGACCTACATGCTAAATTTCATGTTTCAAGGTTCAATATTAAATTTAAAATGAAATTTTCAGTGGTGGTCTCGGATTTTTACTCATATCTTCATTATTTATGGGCCGATAGGGCTGATTTTAAATATTTGTATTCGTATTTAAATTTGTATTCGATCGTATTTCCGATAGAATTATTTAAAATTCGGTTCTCGCAGATATCTGGGGTCTTCTGAAAACTGATTTCAAGATACACACAGACAGACGGACATGGCTAAATCGACTCCGCTATATATAAGGATCCAGAATATATATACTTTACAGTGTCGGAAAATTATATTATAGAGATTACAAACAGAATGACAAACTTATATATACCCTTCTCACGAAGGTAAAGGGTATAAAAAAGGTAAATAACATTTATAATTAGTACAATTATTGTAGGCAAATATAATTACCATTTGGCAATCCTGGTGCATAACAATAAATGTAGTTAATACAAAAACAATTCTTAATAAGAGATTGAATAGAAAAAAGTCGTCCGTCCATCTCGTTTTAATACATCAATCACATTTTGAAATTCTTATTGAAAACAACAAAGCAAGGCTTTGTAAAAATTAACGGGATCCTTTAAAATTGGTAGATTAAAAAGAATTAAAACTTTTGGCCTTTTAAATTTAATATATATTTTTTTAATAAAATAAAGAATAAAATAGTAGATATAAAATAATTAAATTGTTTCAAAATATTAAATTTAACTGTTTAAATAACTAAAACTTAAATTTCGTGGAGGACTATAGATTTTCATATTTTTGAAAGCAGTCCTAAATTAAAATTGTGTGGGACCTTATTAGATACTAATTTGATTTAGGCATGTCCATATGAATGTCTGTTTGTTGAAACCACGATGGAGATAGTTAAATTTTTCTTTCGCCACTTGATACAGGTTTTTAGTTGGTATATAAGATCCGAACATAATACTCTGACATGTTTTGTTTAATATTAGAACTGTTAAATTTAAATTTTTTTCGTAAAAAACAAATCATTCTTTTAAATAACTTCGCTAATAAATGTAAAATATAAAATAGGTACTTACTATTGCTTAACTCCTGTTATCATGTAACAAGCTTGCATGACTTTATTACTAACTTACTAATTTTATTTAGCATAAAAGGAAGCAGAAAACAAGTAGGTAGGTAGGTTGATAGGAGGATGTATACTACATCAAATCCGAAGAAAGACACCTAGGCCACTATCGGGCCTGTTGTGCGCTACTTATCATGAAAAAAAAAACCGAAGGGAATTGAATGAATTATTTTTCAGTGTTCATAAACTCAATTTCCTGAACGTAATTCCTAAGAATCTTCCAATCAGTGTTAGTCAGGAATACTTGGATCTAACTTCGACGAATGCCTGACAGTGGCAAAGAAAGTGCTCCAGAGTTTCACTGTCCTCTCCACATGCTCTACATTCGTCTGAATCCGCACGTCCAATTTTGCATAGATGTGCTCGTAATCATGTGTGTCCACTCAGAATACGTACACACTAACTTCAGACTTGCTCATTTTGAGGAGATTTTTGGTCTTGCTCTCATCAGGGTCACCCCATAGGATCTTCGTGGTTCTACCCACTCTTTCATTATTCCAAGAGCCTTATGTGATTCTCTCACCCATATTTTTAGTTCAGCTTTTGTTCCGTCGAATGGTTTCGTTTGTCAGGTTAACTGCCTCGAGCTCCCTACCCTTTAAAGCTATTACATTCGCCCTTTCGTTACCGACTACTCCCGAGTGGGCTGGTACCCATATGATGTGGAGTATTCAGTTAAAGCTTTCTTACAATACAATACGGTCTTAGATTTAGTTCTATCGCCTGATATCGCCCTAATTGCCTTCTGGCTATCGGTAAATATATTAAGCGCTGTGGGCGCCATATTTATTTTAATCCAATTTTCGCATTCCGTTATTGCTCGTACTTCTGCCTGTGTTATAATTTGGTAAACGGGGGTATATTTCTGTTTCTGGGTCTTCAATATAGAACCCCAGTCCCACTTTGTCCCCCAATTTAGAACCATCCGTGTAACAACGGATTCCTACTGGTATTTGCTCTAATGTTCCGCTTGACCAAGACATTCTATATGGGATCAGTGTTTCAAAATTTCCGACATATTGTATACATTGATGACGTGTCCTATAACCGCTTTTGGCCAGTTCGCCTAAATTAAAGAGCCGTTCGGCTGTAAGCGCTGCCTCAAATCTTAAAAATGTTTCAATGGGTGGAATATCTAGCAACGTTTCCAGAGCCTTGGTTGAAGTAGTACACATGGCACCACTTATACCCAAGCAGCATGTACGCAGAACTCCCTGACCCTACACCAGTTATGAATATTAAATGAGATTTATTTTTCATAATAAAGCATTTATCTTCTATTACCTTGTTCCGATACATTTAAGCAATTTATGGATGAAAAACAAATTTTCTAAAAGAGGCTCTATATGGGGGTTAGGGGGCAAATATGGACCAAGCCCGATCAAATTTTGTGAATATATTTATATTTCTATAATATGTCTTTGTGATGAATTTCATCGCAATATTTGTGTTTATAAGTTAATTTCTTCTGAAGGGGACTTTGTATGGGAGCTAGGGTCAAAAGAGGCCCGATCGTCCTTGGGCCGAAAGAAGAGTGTGTGCCAAATTTCATCCAATTATCTTGAAAATTGCGACTTGTACCTTGCGCACAAGGTTTACATGGACAGCCAGCCAGCCAGACGGACGACTCAGAAAATGATTCTAAGCGAATTGGTATACTTTAAGGTGGGTATAGGACGAATATTTTTGTATGTTACAAACATCAGCGCACAACAGGTCCGATAGTGGCCTAGGTGTATCTCTTCGGATTTGATGTAGTATACATCCTCCTATCAACCTACCTACCTACAAACATCAGCACCAATATACCCTCCCCACTAAAGTGGTGTAGGGCATAAAAACTTATCATCCATCCATCTCACACTTTTTACGAAACGTAATAAAGAAAATAAAAAAACTCTTCAATTGTTGTTGTTATTAAATAATTGAAAATTATTTTAAATAATCACTTAATGTATATCTTCTGTTTTTCTGGTAGTAATACCACCATTTGCAATTTATGCAAACGTTGTTTTGACCCTCTCTATTTGAACTCTTAGTTGTTTGCTTACTGCATCATTCTCTTTCTAATCCTACATTTATTTTGTTTCAAATTATGTATCTAGAATTTCTATTCTCCTGGTAGTAAAGCGTGAAAAAAATCTCTAAATCCATTAGTTGTGTAATTTAAATTAAATAAAAAAATTAATTTTACTAACTATTTTCTGTTCTCCGATTTGTATTAAAATTTTCTGCAAATTGATTTTGTTATTTAAAATTTTTTATTCGTTGTGTATTTTATTCTATTTACAGTTATTAGAAGAAACTCTGTTAAATGTAAATGTAATTTGTTTCGGTTATCTGTTATTTCTGACAACCTAGTGTAACATAAAATAAACTTCAGAAAATAATGATGATACGTTTCTAAATATGTGGTGGTGTTTGTGTATGTAACTATAACTATCTATAGTTTATGTTCACCTGGTTTAAAATTGAAATTTTGAAAATATGTAGTAGTAGTAATTTTCACAATTTTATGCTGTTATACTGTGTGGGTGTGTACGTAATATACGTACGTACATATAAAGTATTGCTTAATCTTTAATGAATACCTTCTTTGAAAAGTCTGATAAATGCTAAACGATGTAAAACAGCAGCCTGCTAATTCTGAGCTCCTAGTAAAAACTGACGAAAACAATTTTATGGCCGTTACAAATCTACTTACTATTTATTAATTTCTGTTTGCCGGATAAAACGCTGTGTATAGTGGGTAATGAAAGATAATTTTTATTTACTTACTTACACTGACTAGTTAGTTAGTTACTAACTGCTACTTTTGATTTATAAAACAATTTTTTTTTACTTACTTTTTTTTAGCATTTTAGGGATGTATAAAATAAAAACTCACAATATTTTTGTATGCATTATTTCAAATCAAAATTATTTTATTTATTAAGCATTATTAATAATAATTTTAAAAAGTGAATAAACGAAATTATGTATTTGCAATAAAACATAGAACATAAAAATATATTTTATTTTGAAAAAAAAAGAGAAAATAATTAAAATTTTTTAAAAAAAATTTTGACAAATATCATAAGACAGACAAAAGACCAAAAAAAAAAAACTATAAATTTTGTGTATAGCAAAACAAATAATGTTTGTTAAAATTATAGAAAAAAATTGCACAAAAAAAGTGATTTTAATTTTAAAAAATTAAAATAAAAAAAAGTGAATTAAAATTTTTTTCTATAATTTTTTTTTGTTAAAAAAAAGAAAATGTATTTATAATTAATAAAATTGTCTGATAAATGCTTAAATTGTTTAAACTAATAAAAAAAATAAAAAGAAATTGAATTAAAATTTTAACTTATAAGAAAATATATATGTGTTGTTGTTGTTTTTTTAAATTTTTTTAAATAATTTTGTCCAGTATTTATATATAACTATAGATATATATTTATAATTTTTTTTGTTTAACCATAGTTTAATTTTGCAAATTTAAAGAAAAAAAATTGGAAAATAAATTGAGAATTTTAAAATTTTTAATAGAAAAATATAATTTTTTGTAATGTTTTATATATTTTTAATTAAAATTGAAACCTTCACCAATTAATTTAAAATTTATTTTAATAAAATGATTTTAAACTATGATTAGGATTTTTTTTTCAATATTAAGGCCAGACTATGATTGACATTTAAGTTTAAGAGAAATATTAAAAAGAAATCTATTTGATTTTGAACCCTGTTTATTTTATTTAAAGAAATTATAAGAAAAATTAAAAAAGTTTTGAATATTTTTTTCTTGCGATTTTCATACAAAATTATCAGTTATCAATTAAGTTTATTTCAATATTGAAATAGAAAGATTTTGAATCCGGATGTTAATTTCGTTGTTTTTTTTAATTATATTGCTTTTTTAAAGTTTTCTTGTCAATTTTAGTTAAGCCTTAGATTTTTTTTAATTTTTTTTTGAGGATTTTTTTTGTAAATTTTGTTTTTGCAATTGATTCTTTATAAAAAAATATTTTTATATATGGAGTTATTTTTCTAAAATCTAAATATTTTAAATGTTTGATTTTTGCTTTTAAATCCAAAGAAACAGAGGAGGAGGGGGGCAGTTAAGTGTAGTTATTTTTTTTTTTGTATAAATTTTAGATTTTTGTTTTTGTAATTGAAAATAATTTTTATAATTGAGGGTTAGAAACATATAATGAAATAAATTTTTAACAATATTTAAAATAAATTTAACAATTCTGTTAAATAAAATGTTCAAATAGTTTTATTTTTATAAAATTGTTTGTAGTCAAGTGTTTTTCTTTTCTTTATAAATTGTATAAAAAAAGTTTTGTTATTTTAAAACTAAACTAAATCCACCGGCCATTCGTTTAAAACATTTTCAATATCATTATCTTGCAAATACTCCTTGGTAGTCATATGATAATCATCATTGCATAGATCCATTAGGAAAGGAGTCATCAAAGGGTTACTGCTGTCCAAATATGATATAGAACGCTTACGTTTACACATAGTAGCACCGTCCTCTTCCTCAACTTCATGTAATTTCTTGGTCAAATCCACTTCCTGCATTAGAATGGCACTAGTGCTAGTGGTGGTGGTATTAGGGGTGGCCTTAAGACCATTAGCTTTAATCATTTCATTTAGCTTGTTGTTATTGTTGGCAATTTTTACTATATTATTGTTATCGATTTGTATAATTTTATTATTGTCATATCCTTTGTTGTTGTTGCTGTTAATAGTAACTGCTGCTGCCGTCATTCCATAAACATTTTCAATTTGTTTCTTTTGTTGTTGTTCATAGGGTCTCTTTAGAGGTGACATATTTTCTGCTATACTTATGTCATCAATGCCACTATCACTGGCTGAATCGATGACATCACATGGTGTCAAACCAGGTGGATTAGAATCGTCATTAGTTATCAAACTAGAAGTGGGTGATGGTAGAACACCTGGTCCTCCTATCCAGGGATTATGACGATAATTACGCAATACTGCAGCCGGTGAGGTCATGCACTGCAATGGTCTGGTCATTGAAGGAGAAAGACAAAGGTCTGGTGATTGCATCGAAGACCTAGAGGCATCATCAATAGTTATATATTCCGGTTTGGCCAATTTAGTTTTCTATATTTGTTTTGGGGAAGAGAGAGATGAGGAAAAGAAAAAGTAAAAAAATCATTATTAGTTTTTAGTTTTAAAGAAATTTTAATACAAATGTTAATGAAAAAGGTGAATTTATATGTAAAACGAACATTTTTTGTCTGTTCCAATTCTCTTCAGATTTGAAAGATATTCGTTGAACACATGAAAGCTTTCATGTAACTTTTGTATAAGATGAAAAATGAATTATGTCAATGTCCACTCTTGCTTTATAATGATTTAAAAAAACCAACCAATTCTTAAAATTTAAACCAAAATCACAAATTTGTCCAATTTATTAAAATATTCAATAAAATTTTGGTTTCTTTTAAAGGTCTTTAACAGTACGAAAAGTCCAGTTTTTTTTAGTAAATTTGCCTCTTAAATCAATAAATATTTAAAACATATTAAATTACAATTTGGATCGATTTTATAATATATCTTATAACAATATTTAACTTAAACTATATATCTTAACATATTTATATATGAAACCGGGATTCGGTATCACATTTAAAAGGTTTTAATGGATCTAATGAAATAAACTTTAAATTTCTTTTGCTGCTTAAATTTTAAATTTTATATTAATAATAAAATAAACTTAAATTATTACCAATTTATTTATAAATAAAAAAATGCGTTCGTATATTTCTTCAAATTTTTATACATTTTTCAAAATTAAAGACTTACCCCCATTTTCACCACCTTCATCTATCGTTTAACCGGTAGTTATTCTTCCAGTTAAGACAATTTTGATATGAGAACTGTCAATATATTTTAAAGTTAAAAAATAACTAGACATTTTTTTCTCAATTTCTAAAATCTTGTCATAGAAATAGATTTTTAAATTTGGTGCGTATTCCTTTTAGGATTTTTTATAACATTTTTTTTTTAATTTAAGATCTGACAAAATTTCTTATATTAAATTCACTTTCGCTTCTGGAACTAGTTCTTTCATCAGTTCATTAATTTTATCTTTAGGGTGAACAAAAACACATTTGTAATAACATGACAAGATGTCGAAGTGCTTTACGTGAACACCTGCCTCGACGGCCTTATTTGACTCACCACTGCCCTTTTGTGCTTCTTACATGCAGGTGGCAATTTTTGTACATGTTTCTGCCGGTCCATGTACAAGCACTCACAAGTACTCAAGCTATCAAATGTCTTGCCATAGTAGCCCCTTTGCGGACAGGTATCATGTGACAAACCCAAAACATACGCCTACAACGAAAAGGAAATCACTAGTTTAGAGTCAATAGAAGGGGCGTACCAAACATCAAAACCCTATTGATGCTATGCGGAATGCTCGTATCCTTAGAACATTCCTATCATCTACGTATACTGGACCGAAAATTTCATATACGTAATTTATCATCTGCGTGTAAGAAGCACAATGGGGCGGTGGTGAGTCGTTACAAAAGCTCACCCAGTAGTTAAAGAAGGCCACCGTGAAATAGGCCAACACTGCAGGTGTTCACGTAAAGTACTCAACATTACTTTATATCATCTAAAGACTCAGCCCAGTACATTCATTAACCTTCTAAAGTCGCACAACCACACTACTCTATTGTTTCGGCAACAGTACCTAGGGACGTAATTGGTGGGCCGAATTACGGATCCATATTTAATTAACAAGACTACTAACCTACTGCGATAAGTTGAGTATGTTTTTAGAGTAAACTCTAAAGACACTCAACTATGAAGGAAATTCGCCAATACATTAATGATTAAACTACAATCCACATCCTTACCCTTGAAACTAGGAACGGTAACAGTAAAATGTTAACCAAGTGTCCCTTCCCGCCAATTTGGGTTTAAACCACAGCCACTACGTGGATCCCGAAGGAGCCTCAACCAACTGACCAGCCAGTAAAAAGTCCAGCGGGCAACTGTTCACCCGTAGTACCAGATTATCTGCTGCTCTAGTTCGACCCCATTTCAAATCATTCCAAGCAAAAGCCGATGATACATTTGATCATCACCTGTTTATAGTCTCTATAAACAGGTACAAGATGAGAAAGGTTATTAAGGAAACTACTTCAGAAGTAGTGAATTTGGAATCAAATAAAAAGGACATCACTCGTATGACAAGCCTGTGTTAAAATCATCACTTCTTCAGGTCTTTTGCAGTACTTCCATGGAGTAAATTCTACTTCTTTTTCGCTTCTTTGGAAGTTCTTTTTTTGCTGGGAATAGTTCTAAATTTTCTTTTATTGACATATCGGTAGTACATATCATACGATTTAGAAACAATGGATTATTTTTGGTGAAAATTTTTTGAAGAGAGAGTCCAATAGATTACAAACTAAAAACCCGTAACCCGACGTAATTAGTGGAATAAAACAGACATTTTGTCTAAATTTATTTTGATCAAAGAATTGCACAAATCTACAAATTTAGTTTAATTGACAACTAAATGTAATTTTTAAATGGGTGACACATGTATTTCTGAAATTTAAAAGAACTTTTTGCTGCAATTCCTACAAAAAATACACATCGGTTACATTTGGGACCTACTACAAACTTCACGTGTGCGTACATTTATGTATCCACAATTGCGTATATTTATTAATAACATTAAGGCAAAGAGAAGAAATGAATAGAAAACAATTGGCAAACAATTTAAGCCACAAATACGAATTTAATATTTACAACTTTCACTTCTCTTCACAGAACACATCAACATTTTCGTTATTCCCTTTGGTAACATATCAAAAAAAAAATACTAGTACATCATCAGCAAAAAAAAGGAGCAAAGAAACAAAAGCATAGAAAAGGAAAGAAATTCTCTATAGTACAATATTTAGAAAATGATGTGTGATGTTTGAGCAAAAGAAAATACTTTCAAAATAACACTGTGCAACAAGATTTTAATGATTTAAAAGAAAATTTGAACTAGACCTATGAAACTTATAAATGAAGTCGATGTATCATCACAATAGTACCGGAGAATAAATTTCGTTTGACATTATAATAGATCCTCAGAAAAGAACTTTTAAAACTATAGGGTTGCCACAATTTTTAAAATTTGAAAGAAAAACGATTTAGTTCTTACTCTCGTGGACATGTTTACAAAATTTTGCCGAAATCGGTGACTATGTGGAAAATCTTTTAAATTTAAATATAATATAAATATTCAGACTTCTACAAGTAGGGCCGAATGTATAGAAGCACTCCTTTCAATCTATGATTCTAATAGATTCTAAACTAGTAATAGTGTTGTATTCGGTCAAATCTTATTTACCCAACATCTACGAATCTGTCGTAAATATCATGTGGATTTTATAAAGGGGGCTGGCTGCAAGCATGGACTTAGATTTTTTATTGTACATATGTTGAACATCATGACGATCATAATAGGACCTATAATGGGGATTTGTGGGCCAAGCTCTACAAAATTTGAAGAAATTTTAAAATCATAGAAAAAAATATTTTCGTCGAATTTTACTGACAAAAAATCTGTAAAAGGAGTTACATGGAGGGGTAGGGTCAAATATGGACGGGTTGAAAAAGATCGTTATCATGGACGGATTGAAAAAGATCGTTATCATGAACGTTAAAGACATTTTCCCATAGCGTGTTTTATGGAGGCTAGGGTCAATTTGGGTGTATAGAACTATTTGGTGCTTTCCATTGGCCACTTGTACGGGGGTTTGTTGAAATCTTGGAGCGATATTTTCTATAATCAATACCATGACAAACGTACATTACTGATAGATATGGCTAGAACGACTTAGAATCTAATAAGGACTTAGAATATTCTTTTGTTGGTCTACATAAATATGCCCCCATCTTTTTGATGATTATACAAAAAAGGGGCCAACTTTTATATTGTAGGATATTTCAGCCTTTTAGCACTTCTCGTTCGGACCCGTTCGGGTTTCAGTAGACGGATAAATAGACAAGCATAGATAGATCGTCTTTAGATCGAATTAATACCCAGAGTTTAAAAATTTTTGTGAATGTAAGACCAATATTTCGATGTGTTAAAAACGGAATGATGATGAATACCTAACATAAATAATTTTGTTGCACTGTGTAAGCTAGATTAATATCAATACAAAAAAACAGAATTAAGGCGTCTGGTAGGTACAACACTTTTGACATTCGTTCATCTTTCTACTGTATAATATAAATATTAAGTAAATATTCTGTTATCACTTCAAAAGTTTTACGCCCAAACGCTTTAATTGTGTTTTTATTCGTTACAGCTTTCTTACGAAATAGAAATGTTGATTTGATAATATAAGTTGCTTAAGGAATTGATATGCCTGTTGGCTTTAAAACAAAAATAAAATTTATGCAGCGCGTGTTAGAAATAAATAACAAAAAAAAAACGTATTTTTTTCTTACAGTTTTGTTTCAAGTTGCTGATTAAGCTCTTTAATTTTATGTTGTGAAACAGCATCAATAGACAAACAAAAAAATAAAATAAAGCTGACAAATTGGGGAAATTGGATGCCAAAGTTTTCAACGAATCATTTTATTATTGTGGTTAATTTAAAACTAGAGAAGAAAAAAAAGGGAGTATAGAGTTGTTATAAATGCCGGAATTTAATATATTAATTGTTGGTCAAATATAAACCTTTAACAATACACTTGAAGAAAAAACTTTTAAACATTTTAAAATTAATTTAATAAAATTAAAAATAAATCTTTAGCTTCTTATTTAATTGTTGTTCTAAGTCCAAGTCTATTGTCTAAAAATAGCATTTCATAGATTTTTATTTTGCAAATCAAAACAAATAACTGATAAAACTAAATTTTGTTTTGTTTTGAAAACGACACACCCCAATAACGTCAATAACCATTGACGTTATTAGTTCGGGATTAAATAACATATTATTTTTATTAAATATGTATTTAATATTGCAAATTTTTTTACTTTACATTTACAAGATAAAGAATTTTTACTACGTAGTATTTGTTACATTTAAGAATATTTATTTAACATGACAGTTTGACAGATTGCACATCATTGG